ATGAAAATTGGGAGTAAATGCTGATTATCTAAAAAAAAACATCGTAAATCGCAGTCACATGATAAAAGGGCATTGCAAATGGCCATAAATGCAGACTTGTTGCCAAGTGCCCAAAACACAGTTGGGAGAGGAGGTGGCTCTTGTAACTTCACAACAAGGTTGCAAGTACCGTTTGGATGGTCTGTTACTAAGCGATCTGTTGTAAGTCAAGGACCAACAGTAATCTCAACTTGGTTTAAGTGTTTGGGGAATCTAGTCCTTGTCATTTCTAAAACATAGTTTGTGACTCCCCAATTGGCCTTTTGCATAACCTACTAACTGGGATTAGCTTGTTAGGTGAGTTCAATCGCTGTTTTGGTTCCTTCTCTGTTGTCCCAAAACTGTTTTTCTAAAGAAAACTAGACTTCCTGGGTTTTTCTACTTTGAAAACATTTCTCTTCTCATCCAAGAAGCTTCTTCAGTTCTTCAGATCAGAACTGAAGAAGCTGCTTGGATGAGAAGCAAAACATTTTCAATGAAAAAACAAAGAAGTCCAGTTACCTTTTTGGAAAAAACACCTTTGGGACAACCGTGATCTGGAGCCCTAGTGGCGCAGTGATTAGAATGCAGTATTACAAGCTAACTCTACCCACAGTCTGGAGTTTGATCCTGACTGGCTCAAGGTTGTTTCAGCCTTTCATTGTTCTTAGGTCAGTTAAGTGAGGATCCAGATTGTTGGGGGGCAATATGCTGACATCGCAAATTGCCCAGAAGTGCTGTAAAGCACCATGGGCAGTATATAAGTTGGAGTGTCATTGCTGGATGATCGAGAATATCCACAGACATTTCCTTCCCTGTTGTTCTTGTGGTGACTCGATATGACAAGTTGCTCCTTTCTGTGTGTGGCAGGTTCTGGTAGATGAAAAGCTGTATTTGGAATTCAAGCACAGGATCCCTCTTTGCCGAGTAGATACCATCAGAATTTCAGGAGAACTAGATGTGGAGTCAATCAGCTTCCGAGGTCCAACTGTAGGTATTCCATTGATTTCATTCTATTTATTAAAAACCTGGCTTCTTTTGGTAAGCAAAAGGGTAGCCTTATTTTTCTTGGGATTAAATGGGTGGCGTATTTAGACAGGATAAATATATGCCTTCCCTCTTTCCTTCTGATCTTTGAAAAATGCAAATATTTTCTGCAGTTTCCTGAGTGATTTTGTGGGGAGTGGGGTTAAAAAAAGGTCCAGATGGTGACCTAATGTCAACAGTCCTTCATGGGTGTCATGATACACTTCGACAGAGACACAACTTTGATTTCATGACAATAGAAGCCATCTTGATTTTTTTTGACCCTGTTGGGTGGTCTGACAGGACTAGTGGCAGTGGAGAACCTATCACGCCTCTCCATCTTGTAACTTCTCCAGGCACCAGTAGAGACAGAACTCCGGGCCCTCACTGGATCAGCTGATCTGCAGCTGAACCGCAGGCCA